CGGCACCTCCCCACCCTCCACCGACCAAGGTGTTGCCACCCCCCTACAACTCCCCAAAACGCCTTTCCCACCCCCTGCTAGATGGGGGTGTCCCACTCCTGTCCCCCCCCCTCCCTCTTTTTTTTTTCCCCACGCAGCACCGGCGCTCGCCCCGTCGGGGCTCTCCGGTTCGGCGAGGGGAGGTGGGGAATCGCTGCCGCAGCGCTCCCCGCCGCAACCGTGACTCAGCCCGGGATTAGTCAGCAACTGGGGCCGGCCCACCCGCAACCGGCTGCGCAGCTCCGCCGCTCCTCCCGGAGGCCGCGACCCCCCCGCTGCACGTCCCGGTCCCCCCCGACGCGCACACGGTGCCCCGAGCGGGAGGTGGAGTGCGGGGGTCGCGGCCCCCGAGGAGGGGGTGTCGCATCCCGGAGCGCGGCCCGTTGCTGCCATCTCGTGGGCTTCCCACCGGTGAAACAGCCGCGTCCCTGCCGTGGGAGGGAGCGAGAGGAGCCGGGGATGCGCGTGGGGAGGGGGAGGTCACCTGTAGGGCGTGGGGAGGGGGTGGTGGGTGAGGGGGATTGGAGGGGGAAGGGGGAGAGGAAGGGAGGTCTCCTTGTGCCATCGTGACTCCACAGGGGCGGGGTGTTCACCTGCTTGGATGTCACCCCACAAGGAAAGGATCCTACTGCCCCACGGTGCATCGCTTCAAAGGAAAGGGTCTCATCGCCTCAAGGCCCAAAATATCAGCCTGCTGGAAGTGTTCCTCACCCAATCTGGGCATTGTGCCACAAGAAAGGGGTCCCACTGCCCCATGAAGCATCATCCATAAGGGAAAGGTCCCAATGTTTCACCAAGCACCATCCCACAGGGATGAGATCATCACCTGCCTGCAGAGAAGGGGTTCCATCGCCCCATCAAGTGTCATCCCACAGGGAAGGGGTGCCACTGCCCCAGGAAACAACACCTGGCAGGGATGGGCGCCCTTGTTTGACTGAAAATTGCCCCCAAGAAGCATCACCCATAAGGAAAGGGGTCCCATAATCTCACCAAACTCTGACCCTACCTGCAGAGGATGGGTCCTGTCACCCCCTCAGGCACCATCCCACAAGGAAGGGGTCCCACTGCTCCACAAAACATCACCTCACAGGGATGGGCTCCCTTTTCTTCCCTCCCCCATAAGGATCCCATTGCCCCCCAGTTCAGAAAGGGGAATTGCCAAGCCCTGCTCCTGGGGAGGAAGATCCCTGAGCTCTGGGATATCCCAGGACTGTCCAGCTGGACAGCAGTTCAGTGGAAAACACCTTGAGGGTCCTTGGGGAAGCTGACCCTGTGTCCTCGGGATGAAGGAGGTGAATGATGTCCTGGTGTGTGTTGGTTGACAGCAGTGAGAGGATCCTTCCCCCTGTGGGCTCCCAGCATGGAAATGCTGCAGGGAGTCCAGGGAAGGAGCACCAAGAGGAGCAAAAGGCTGGAGCATCTCCCTGATGAGGAGAGGCAGAGGGCTGGGAAAGAGGAGGCTCCAGGGACCTGTCAGTGCATGCACAGCCCTGGAGGGTGTGGAGAGGGCAGAGCCAGACTCAGCTCCTGCTGCCCAGTGCCAGGGGCAGGTGGAACAGCTGAGTCCCACCATCAGGGATCCCTTTCACACTGGGAGGGGAGCACTGGCCTGGGCTGCCCAGGGAGCTGCTGGGGTCCCCTGGAGATACCCAAAACCACCTGGGCAAGGTCCTGTGCAGCCAGCCCTGGTGACCCTGCTGGGGCTGGGGATGACTTCCTGAGGTCTCTCCCAGTCTCAGCTCTTGCTCTTTGAGTCTGTCTCTTGTGCACCTGGCTATCCTTCCACAAGGAAGGGTTGTCCTGCTCCGTGAAATATCACCTTGCAGGGATAGGTGCCCTTGTCTGACCAAGTATCACTCTCTAAAAAAGGGTCCTCTCAGTGTCACCCCAAAACAAAAGGGTCCCATTGCCCCATCAAGCCCACAGAGAAGGCTCCCCAAGCCACTGGAGCATCACCCCCCAGGGAATGACTCCCATTGTCCACGCCAGCAATGCCACCCAGGCAGACCAGCAGGGAGCAGCCACCCTGGGCCTGTGCTGTGCCAGGGAACCTCTGCCCTTCCCAGGGATCCTCTCCTGATGGGGGCACCCCGGGAGAGCTCGGCAGGGTCCCGTGGCTGCCCCCAGGGCCTTGGCACCGGAGCAGCTCAGGAGATGGGCAGGGGTGACCCAGGGCTCAGCGCTGTCACGAGTTGCACAGCCTCAGCCCCTCAGTGGAGGGGACACGCACACATCCCCCGCACACACAGGGGCGCACTGTCGGGGCTGCTCTACCCCGGCCCCGCCGGCAGAACGGAGCTGGAGCTGCCAGCGGGGGCTGCAGGCTCCTGGCGCTGCCGGATGCGGCCCCGCTGGCCAAGGGCAGTAATGGAAGACATGTGTGTGGGCTTTGGGGAGAGGCTGCGCTGGGAAACAGGGCCCTGCAGAGACCGGGGGGCTGTATCCTGTCCAAAAGCCCAGGTCCCACATGAAGCCAGGCATGCGAACGCGATCCAAACCACAGCTGGATTTGAACCGAATCTCCCAGCATCTGGGCTAATTTGCTGCAACTTTGATTGATCGTGGGGAGGGGGCACAGGCGGGAAACGCTCCAGCTCAGACCTCCCAACAGAGCCAATGACTTAACCAGAGCTGGTTCCAATCTGCTCAGCACATTGAGGCGAAAATGCCCCTTTCTCTGCGCGCTGCCGGCGCTGGCTCCTCCCGCGGTCCTGCAGCCCGGCCGTCCCCGATGTCCCTCGGAGCTGGACATGGGCTGCAGCTCCCTGGGGACACCCGGCAGTTTCTGAGAGCTCTGGGTGCGGAACGCTGGCTCAGGCTGCTGTGTTAGGATCCCTCCAGAAAGCCGAGCAGGACAGGACGGGGGATACTCGTGCAAAAAGAAAAAACCCCTCCACCTGCCCCAAAGCCCTGCGGGCACCGATCCGCCCCTCTGCTCCTGGGAGAGGCCGGGAATGGGAGAGGAGCTGCAAAGGAGGGTGGAAAAGGTGAAGGGTTTTTCCATTGCCTCGCTCGGCCGCTGCCCCCGAGGCTCGGCGTCACTCAGCAGGTAGCTGGGGCAGCCCGGGGTCCCGGCCGGCCCCGGGGGATGCAGCTGTCTGGGAGCCGCTCGCTGCCGTGATTTATGCAGCTCAGCCCCATAAATTACCGGCACGGAGCCCGCGGGAGCCATCGCTCACAGCGACGTCCAGAGCTCGCTGCCAGAACCTGAAACACTTCCAGCCGTTAATTGAAGAGGGGGGAAAAGAAAAAAAAGTGGGAGAGGGGGGAGAAATTAGTGCCCGGAGAGTTGGGATTAAACCGCGGCTCTAACGAGGGTCGCCCACGTCCCGCTCCCAGGATCCCGGCTCTTCCTGTGGGCAAGAGCCCAGCATGGGGAGCAGGGAGGGAATTTCTGAGCCTGGGATGAGCCCGCGGGCAGTGACACTCCGTCCCGGTCCCCAGGGTGACATTTCCGCAGCGAACTGGGACCCGCTGAATCTGAAGGGAATCTGAGGGTGGGTTCCAGGTGAGCGATGCTGAGCTGTGAGGGCAAGGGCTGCCACCAGCCCGCACCCTCCCTGCCAGCACCCATCCCTTTTTGTCCCCAATTCAGGGCTGGCCAAAGCCTGTCCCAGGCACCAGGGCCCCCACATTGGCTCCCCTTCACCAGGGGACCGGGGTTATGGGGTGAAACCCCAAGGGCCCAGGTGGGAGGGATGGCACTGCTCGGGGTGCCCTGCTCAGGCCAGGGGGTGCCAGCGGGACACCCCAGGATTAGCAGCCGGCCTGGGGAAGCCCATCACGATGCTTTGCTGTAGCAGGAGGTTGTGCAAGAGGCTGCGGCTGTGAGAAAGGAGAAGTGAAAGTGTGAAGCGAGAGGCGGCTCCCCCCGCGCCAAGGGGGGTACCCCGTGCTGCACCCCAAGCCCAGCAGCTTTTTCAGCGACGGCTGGAGGGATAAAGCGGGGGGAAACGTGGTTCTGCCTCCCCCTCCTCCTCCTCCTCCTCATCCCAAACCACCGCAAGCCCCCAGCCCACCCCAGCCACCGCCACCGCCACCGCACATCTGGGCGCCAGCGCTGCGCGCCCCTCCCGCTCTCTGCTCTCCCCCCTCATCAGAAAATTGCGCCCGTCTGCCTTCCCTCCCTGCTCCCCAGAACCCCTTCCCACATCATCTCCACTCATCGGACACGACCTTCCACCCTCTGCACCCCAAAACGCGACCACCCTCTCCAGCCTTCCCAACCGATGGGTGCCCCCCGCTCTGCCCATCAGCACCCATCCCTCGGGCGGGGCGGCGAGCGAAACCCCTCTGCTCTATCGCTCCCCAGCCCCGTCCGCCCCGTCGGGTCCCACCTGCCGGGGAGGAGCCGCCTCCGGTACCGGGCGGGGTGGAGCGCACCGGGAGCCGCTAGATGGCGCCCTACGAGCGGTACCGACGGGGGGGACACCTCGCCCTTTGCCCGGGGACACCCCCGGGCCCCCCCTCTGCGGGGCTCCCGGCCCCACCCGGCTGTCCCCGGGCAAAGAGCGATGTGCGAGGATCGAGACCCCCGAGGGGGCGGTCGGGGCGCGGCAGGAGAAGACCGGGAGGAGGGAAAAACCGGGCTGGGAGGAGGAGGAGGAGACCGGGATGGGGAGGGAGGGGTGTGTAAAGGGGGGGGCCCGGCTTGTCGGTGCCCCGCCCGGGGATGGGAGGAGGAAAACCTCCCGCCGTCCCTTTAACAGCCAGCGGCGCTGCTCGGAGTTCAGGCCGGGGTCAGGGGGAGTTCGCAGCCCGGGTTTCACCTCCGAGCTGGCGGCGTCGGGAACCCCGAGGAACCGCTGCTGCTTCTTCCACAACCACCTCCTCCTCCTCTTCCTCCTCCTCCCGTTCCGTAGGACCGGCCGGGAGCGCGGGGTATGGAGGAAGAGAAGCAGCAGAGGAAGAGGAGGGTGGAGGGGAGCAGCAACCGGCGGCGGCCCCCCCGGGGCTGAGCCATGAGAGTTCACCGAGACCTCAGCTGGTTGGCGGAGGCCACCGGACGCCCAGGTAAAAGGAGGGGGGGAACACCCCGAAATGCGGGGAAATCGGCCGAAAAAGCCGCTCCGCGGGCTCTTGGCTTCACGCACCTGGGCGGGGGGCACCGGCACCGGGACGGAGGCGGGGAGGGGAGGTCCCGCTGCCCCCCACACCCCCGACCGTCCCCCCGCTCACCTCGAGGGGGGGAGAGGAAACGGGGGCGGGGGGCGCCCGGGGGGTCCGGCCCGCCGCCTCCCGGGACCGGGGCGCATAAGAAGCGGGGAGGCGCGGCGGGGAGCGGGGACCGGCGGGCGGGCGGGCGGTGGCGGGCACCGGCTCGGGGTGTTCCCCCCTGCTCTCCCCTGGCAGGTGGGCGCGGGGTCTCGGGATCCCACGGCTGGCGGGGCCGGGGCGCGGCACTGGCGGCGGCGGCGGGTGATGTCACTTTCTCCAAAACCCTCCGGGGGTTTTCGCCCCCCTCCCGCCCCCCCGACCCGCCGAGAAACGAGCCCCCATATAAGCGGTGGCACCGGCCGGGCGGCCGCGCAGAGCGGCCGGGACTCAGCCGTGCGTGGGGCTCAGACCCGCCCCCGCCACGCCGCCCACCCCACGCGTGGGTGAAGCTCCGGCCGCGCACGTCGAGCCCCCCGCGCGTTGCGGCGGGCCCGCGGGGCCGGGCACGGCGCTGACGGGGCGGCCGCTGTGTTGCAGGGCGGCGGGCGAGGAGCGGGATGCTGGACGCCATGGAGGTGCCGAGCCACTCGCGGCAGCTGCTGCTGCAGCTGAACACGCAGCGCACCAAGGGCTTCCTGTGCGACGTGATCATCGTGGTGCAGAACGCGCTTTTCCGTGCGCACAAGAACATCCTGGCCGCCAGCAGCGCCTACCTCAAGTCGCTGGTGGTCCACGACAACCTGCTCAACCTGGACCATGAGATGGTGAGCCCCGGCATCTTCCGCCTCATCCTCGACTTCATCTACACCGGCCGCCTGGCCGAGTGCGAGCCGGGCAGCGAGCAGAGCCTGGGTGCTGTGCTGGCTGCCGCCAGCTACCTCCAGATCCCCGGCTTGGTGGCCCTCTGCAAGAAGAAGCTGAAGCGCAGCGGCAAGTACTGCCACCTGCGCGGGGGCTACGCGCCCTACAAGCTGGGCCGCGGGCTGCGGGCCGCCACGCCGGTCATCCAGGCTTGCTACTCGGGGACGCCACGGCCCGTGGACCTGCCTCCCGTGGAGCCGGCGGCGCCTCTCAACACTCAGTGCGGGGAGCTGTACGCCTCGGCCGCCCAGGGCGCCCCGCTGCACCCCCACGGGCTGTGCCCGCCCGAGCGCCACTGCTCGCCGCCCTGCGGCCTCGACCTCTCCAAGAAGAGCCCCACCGGCCCCTCCGCCCAGCTCCTGCCCACTGACCGCCTGCTGCCCAGCGAGCCCCGCGAGCCCTCGCTGCCCCCGCGGCACGACAGCCCTCCTGTCAGCGCCGGCCTCCTGGGCAGCCACGCCGCTGCCTACAAGGACTCCCCGCCGGGCGCTGAGCCGGGGGGACACCCGCACGCCCCCGACCCCTTCCGCAGCACGCCGCCCTGCGCCGAGCCCCCGCTGCCCCGCGCCGACGGGCGAGAGCTGATGTACCGCTGGATGAAGCACGAGCCCCTGGGCCCCTACCTGGACGAGGGGGAGGCGGAGAAGGAGCTGGAGCGGGAAGAGAAGGCCGAATCGCCGCCTGCGGCACCGCAGCCCCGCTACCCCAGCGTGGAGAGCAACGACCTGGAGCCTGACAACAGCACGAGCGAGGAGACGGGCAGCAGCGAGGGCCCCTCGCCCGGCGACGCGCTGGACCGCTATTGCAACCACCTGGGCTACGAGCCGGAGAGCCTGGGCGACAACCTGTACGTCTGCATCCCCTGCGGCAAGGGCTTCCCCAGCTCCGAGCAGCTGAACGCCCACGTGGAGGCCCACAACGAAGAGGAGCTCTATCACAAGGCGGCGGCCGAGCAGGCCGTGCCCTTCCTGGACAAAGGTGGCCCGGGGCTGGGTGACATCTTGCGGCCTTACCGCTGCTCCTCCTGCGACAAGTCCTACAAGGACCCGGCCACGCTGCGGCAGCACGAGAAGACGCACTGGCTGACGCGCCCCTACCCCTGCACCATCTGCGGCAAGAAGTTCACGCAGCGCGGCACCATGACCCGCCACATGCGCAGCCACCTCGGCCTGAAGCCTTTCGCCTGCGACGCCTGCGGGATGCGCTTCACCCGCCAGTACCGCCTGACCGAGCACATGCGCATCCACTCGGGCGAGAAGCCCTACGAGTGCCAGGTGTGCGGCGGGAAGTTCGCCCAGCAGCGCAACCTCATCAGCCACATGAAGATGCACGCGGCCGGCCCCGACGGCAAAGCCAAGCTGGACTTCCCCGACAGCGTCTACGCTATGGCCCGGCTCACCGCCGACCAGCTGGGGCTCAAGCAGGAGAAGGCGGCCGAGCTGCTGTCCCACACCTCGCACTTCCTCAGCGACCCCAAGGCCATGGAGAGCCTCTACCCCCTGGCCAAGTTCACGGCCGAGCACCTGGGGCTGAGCCAGGACAAGGCGGCCGAGGTGCTGGCGCAGGCTCCGCACCTCCACACCGAGGCCGCCCGGACCATAGAGCGATACTCGCCCCCCTAGCACCGGCCTGGCCGGGGGGCTGGGGGGGCCGCTGGGCTCCCCTCGCTGCCCCGTGTGGAGCTGGGGGGGGCGAGAGGTGATGGGTGCTCGTCCCCAGGCGCTGCCGGCGGTCCCGGAGAACTCGCTCAGTAGCGAAGGTGCCATGAGAGCTGCTCCGGGATGGATGGACGGCGTGTCCCTCGGGAGAAGCCGATAAATCAGGGACTGACCCCGCGGCACCTCCGCCCCTGGCCGTGGGGGGTGCCGGGACCCCGGCACCGGGCGGCAGCGACGCACAAGCTGTGAGGCCGGGCTGCGCCCCGAGGCTTTGGAGGACATGAGCCCGCTCCTTACCTCAGGGCTGCCCCCGGGCCAGGGGACGCCCTCGGCAGCCGCCGCGTCGCTCCGGCCCCGCGCTGGGAGCCGCCGGCGCTCGGCTTTGCCGCGACGGGACCCGGACTGTGCCTCCCCGAGCGCCGTGAGTAGTTCGTCCGTCGTGGCCGGAGCGACGGCTCCGTGTGAGCGGGAGCGGCCAGCGCTGGGCTGGGGGTGTGTGCCCGAGCATCCCCCGGGGGCTCGGGACGGACTGACGGAGGGGGACGGTGCGGGCTGAGCAGCGGGCGCGGGACGGGACAGCGGCGGTCACGTCCATGCTGGGGGGGCCGGGGAATCGCGATGCTCCTCGCCCCGAAGCAAGCACTGACCTCCCGTCCCCAGCGCAGGGGCTCAGCCGGCTGCTCCCCGTGTTTTTGGGAGGTGGGGCAGGGCCTGTCCCAGACTGAGCCCCTGGGCCCTGCCTCGCCATCAGGGATGCCCGGGGCACCCGGGCCAGCCCCGGGACCCGGCGGATTCGCCCTCGGGCGGCCACACTCGCCTTGATTATTTTTTATTTTTTTATTTTTTGCCAAAGACGCCCGTCTCCAGCGCGGCCGGGCCGGGCCGGGGGGTCCATGACAAAGACAAAGCGGTCTCTGGTTTGTCAGCTACGGGAGGTGGGCAGGGGCTGCGGGAGGGGGCGGTGGGGCAGAGCCCGGGGGGGTGATGTGACCTGGGGCCGAGTCCCCCCCGGGCACCTTCTGCCAGCACCGCACCCCCTCTCCCACCTTCTGCTCGGTGTGGGCCAAGTCCCCCCAGCCTGGACCCCCCCGGCCCGTGCCCTGACCCCTCCGTTGGGGCAAATGTGAAGCTTCTCCCCCCTCCTGAGCCCCCTCCTCTCCTTTGCACACGAGGCTCCGGGCGGCCGCCAGCAGCGACTGCCCCCGGCCTCGCAGCCACTGTGCCTTAGCCTGAGCTGCCGCTCCTGCCCAGCTGCCCCCGAGCCTCCCGGGGCTGCCCCGGTCCCCCGGAGCTGCCGTGGGGTGACTGCGGCGGTGGCAGCACCCAAAGCACAGCTGGCAGCGCCCAGCGGGGCCCCGGCCCCCCCTGTATCACGTCCAATTTGTACACGGGCTTCTCGCCCTTTTTTTTTTCTATAGTCAAAACGGAATGAGCAATAAAATGACATTAACACGCGTGGCCTCGCGTTCTTCTCTGGGGAGGGGCTTGGCTGGTGCAGGGCTGAAGCTGAGCACGGCTGGGAGTGACCCCGGGGGCACCTGGGGGTGCAGAGCTGCAGGGAGGGGACCCAAGGGCTCTGTTGTGCATCTGGTTAGCCCAGACTCCCTCAGCTGGGGGGCAGCAGCAGACGCAGGTGGGACAGGGCCGCTGTCATCCTTACAATGTGTCCCACTGCTGCCCCTCCCTGGTGTCCCCCACCCCAACCTCAGCAGCAACTCATGGGCTGACAACAAATGACACACCACGCTGCACTGACACACGTTTAATACTAAAAATCATTAAAACCAATTTAACATCCCGAATGCGGGCGCTGCCCCGAGACAAGGGCTCCCAGCAGCCTGGCAGGGACGGCCCCAGGTGCTCAAGCTCTGCTCACTGTTGTGCCACCTGGTCTGGTGGCACCAAAACTGTCCCATGGCTGAGCCTGTGACACATCTGGCAGAGCTGCAGGGCCCTCCAGGCTGGTGGTACCTCGGAAAGGGGCGCTGGGGCAGCGCCGTAAGAAAACAAACACTGAAACACACCCGGTGTGGAGGAGAAGGCGAAGTCTCTGCAAAGCTGGCAGCCAGCACGGCTGTGGGCAAGGAATCAGGGTGTGGGTGCTGTGCCAATGGCTCCGTGTGCCCCACAGCAGCTGTGGGCACCCCAAAGTCTCTGTGCCCGGTGCCCCGGGCTGGGTGCTGCTCTGGCACAGGTCATCCAGCACAGTCTGTGTGTCCATCGCGCTGCCGAGGCTCTGACCCTGCTGCTGGCCCTGCCCCTGGGGCTGGGGGCTGGCACTGGGGTGGCTGGCACTGGGGTGACTGAGCTTCCTGATGCAGACTCTGGGTCTGAGCCACCCACACAGGAAAGGAAAACGCTGGGCTCTGTCCTGCTGCTTCCTCTGCCACCTCTGACACTTCCCTCCCACGGCTGCGGCGCCCCAGCGGGGACCAGGGGTGGCCTTGGGGCTGCTCCCACCCTGGCTCAGGGGACTGGGACTTGACAGAGCTCCAGGGGCTCTGGTTCAGGGGTTAATGCTCCCTCTTAGCTTCTGTATCTGGTGTGTCACTGGGGATGGGACACTTGGTGATGGGACAAGGTGGGGTGTGGAAGGCTTAGCAGCACCCCAACCCCAAATCCAAGTGCAAAATGACCCAGGGACGAGGCAATGGCTCCATCCATGGACCCTCTCAGCTAGGCAAATAATGGGGCTGAGCATTTCTGTGGTTCTCTCTGACTCTGCAGCCATAGGCAGAAGCCAGATCCCACATGGAAGAGGGGCCTGTGGCAATGTGAGGACACACAGTACCCATGAGACAGCCGGTCCTGGGGTCCTTGGAGAATTCTGTTAGCCTCACACTGAGTCCTAGGTCAAAAGCATGCCTAAAGGTAGCAGGGTAGGACTAAGGGGTTTGGGGGAGAAGGGAAGGGGAAAGTAACAGCTGGGGTGGGCAGGGGATCAGGACAAAGCAGCTCTGGGGGTGTTCAAAGCCTCCCCCAGCAAAGCAGGCAGGGCACACACCTGAAAACTAACCTACACTGAAAAAATGAAACTCAACAAGCAAACCCCGCACCACGGAGAGGACAAACCCCTCTGCAAGCAGCACTCCTGCGTGGGGCAGCACACGGTGGGGAAGGGGATGGGGACCTGGGGCTGTCTGGCCATGCAGGACAAATAGGCTGGGGCAGGGGGAAACCTGCCCTCGAAATCCATGGCCTCTCCAAGGGGTACAGGCTGGACTAAACAATCCCAAAGTCTTGCGCCGGCGTGTCCCCAATCTCTGCCCTACGCAGCCTACAAACCCAAAGAGCCACCAAGGCGTGACTCGAGCTCTCTGCACCCAAGCAAACCAAGCAAAAGGCTGGTGATCCAGCACAGGGCTCACCCAAAGCTTCCCTCGCCAGCGGGGCTCTCCAGCTCCGCGCTGGCACTGCCCAAAGGCCGGCGGGCCCCTCAAGGGCCCAGCCTCCACGTGAACCATCCACAGCAATGACCTTCCCAGCTGCTCTGCCCTCGGGGGGCCCTTCTCAGCACGGCCATTCCGGGGTGGGTTGAAGACGTGGCGTTTATTGTTCGTGGTGGGCTGGCGGCGGTGGCGGCGCGGCGAGGCGGCCGCTGGAGCCGGGCTCCCGCCGTCAGGGGCTGCGTGACTCCCTCAGGGGCCCTGGGCCCCCCTTGGCCTCCTCAGCCCTCCTGAGCCCACTTGAGGAAGGTGGGGATGTCCCGCACCGGCACGTTGCGGGTCAGCGCTTTGACTCGCAGGTTCCGGTCGTCCGTCAGCAAAACCACTTCCCTGAGCAAACGGATGGGATCGTCTGCAACGAGACACACACGGAGCACAGTGAAGCTCTGACCTGCCCCAGGCCTTCATCCATCCCATGGTGTGCTCCCCTACCCTCCCTGCTCCCTGCCAAGCTTCCTGGTGGGCCTCGCACACAGCCCGGCATCCCCAAGGCCAATCTGCTCCCCTCTCTGTGCTGCCCAGGGATGATTTGTGATCACTGCCCACTGCCCACAGGGGTGGTGGACTGGCCACAGGCTGGGAAGAGGAGGTCCCTGCCTGACCCAGGCCAGGAAGACGGCCTGCGACCCTGGCTCCAGCAGGAAGCTGGTGCTATTATTCTGTTGATCTCATTATAAGATCTAAAGCCACCCCTTATTTTTTGTGGAGCTTTTTTGGAGTCGCCACTGACACCGAGGCGTTTCTGGCTGGGGCTCAGACAGACACTGGGAGTTGATGCCTGAGAAAGAACCAGAGGGATCTTGCCCCCAGATGGATGAGCTGCCCCGCACGCAACGCGCCGGGCTGGGATGTGGGAGCCACGCTTACGTGTCTGCGAGGCAGGGGAAGCATATGGGCTATGTGTAAGCAGCTGGGTCCTGTGACCAGAGCACTGTTCCTATGAGCACAGGAAACACAGTGCCTCCGAGCCAGGACGGGAATGGAAAAAACAGAGTTTATGGGAGCCCAACATGGGCCCAGATTGGCTGCGCAGGGAGCAGCAGGACGAGGGGAAGGGGAGGGTGGCCAGGAATGCGGGCTATGGTCACGGTGTTGGGGCTGGGGATGGTGGGCAAGCACCTGGCTGGCCTGTGCTGGAAGGAAGGGAATTGGGGGCTCAGCGGGAAGGCAGGGCAGGGATTGAGAGCTGCCTCAAGTGGGAGCGGGAGGTTTTGCGCGGACACTTTAAGAAATGTGTAACAATAAACATCCTCTGCCCCGCGCTGGTGACGCGCCTCCTTGTTACAAACCAGAGGCTGTCAGCTTGTCAGGCCCCATTCCCCATAATCCACATGATTTCAAAATTCAGCATCATTTGCACATAAACATTTGGTGACGGTTTCTCTGTGAATCTGACAAGTTAAGCTGCTAAGAATTCGTGCTGACAAATGCGGGTTGATTTCTTGGGCAGCTGCTGATGTGATTCCCATCCCTGCCGCCCTGGCAACAGCCTGGAGGCTGTCTGGTCCCAGCACACAC